CTCAAGTAATCAAATTATTAAATGTAAAGTAAATATCCTACCAAGATTATCGTTTGATTCATCTTGATTATCTAAATAAAATATTTACGTTGAGCAAAATAAATTATAAAATTAAGTGTCAATAACATTTTCAGTTACCTTCATGATGCTTATCCACGTTTAAATTTTCAGTTATATTATTAGAGGAACCCAATCGGTTGCCTATCATTAACTGTGTAATTTGCTGACTATTTATGTTAATACAATTTGCAATAAATTCAACAATTACCTTCTCCGATAGATTTTCAAGATTTTTTGAAACTTCACCTAGTACTGGACGCTGGTCAAGTTCAGAAAAACAGCATTTAATATAAATATTAGCATAATCTGAGAGAGTAGCGTCAATAACCTTCTTATTCGGAGGATTATGTATTCCTAGGTTTGTACAGGGTGGAATTTCGCTCATATGCTCATTTCTTATCGCGTTTTTTATCCTAAAGCTAAGGCACCGTAGATCGATATAAATTGGTATGCCCATCATAACTGAGCTTGCAGCTGCAGAATAATCCAAGGTCTGCAATCAAGGCCTTACCATTATCTAGCAAAATATTCTTGGAGTGCCAAAAAATTGATAATGATATTTTGTCCAAATATTTTAATCCAGAAGTAATTTCCACTGCAATATTTGATAAGTTCAACCCATGAAATTTTATAACAATCATTAACATGTTCCGTTTTTTAAATAATCTCGTAAGTTACTGTCATCAGCAAATTGTAACACAAGTATTAAATTATTCGTTTGTTATCTAAAGTTATTAAGCAAAATAAGGATAAAGTTAATGATTCAAATGTAGACTCAATTAAAGAATTGTTCTTTTACAATACCCCTTGAAATTCTGTAGAGTTTAACCACATTAGTATGATTAATCATACGTATACAAAAGTTCAAGCTATATATAGCATTATATAATACATATTCAATAAATTTGAATGTTAAGAATTAGATACTAAATAGTGAGCACATTACCTCACGTATGAATTGCTTGAATTGCTTATAATCAGGCGATAAGTTGTTGTTTAGACTTTTCAGTATATACTTTTTTCCCTGAGAAATGGTCGAATCAACTAATGCTATATAAAAATTGACTATTTTAATGAATTTGTATTATGTTAAAAATGTTATTAGCATAATAGTATACATGTTCTATTTGATATA